AATGAATTAGAGGTCACGAAATTGTATGACGTCAATACATCCTGTTCAATTCGTAATCTTCGCCTTGTTAAAATTTCCTCCGGGAAAACAATGTTTCAAGCATCTAGCTTTATTGCATATAGTATTTCCTAAGGGTAAAAACGTAATATGTGAACAACAGGTCTTATATTATCTTCCCTCAGTTGTGGTTCCCGTTGTTTCTTACCTCTTCTTTCTCTTCTACAGGCGAAGAAAATTGAGTTGGAGGAACGCAATTGTGACATCATCAAGGATGACTTTTGGACAGAGAATCCGCACTTGCTGGAACCCTGACATATCATATCTGTGTGCTGTGAGCATTTTGTAAATAACCATTGACAGTCCGAGGTTATTGGTTCTGGTTTAGGGTACAGCGCGTTCTCGGTTAATTGGTCCATAAGGCGAAATTTTTAAGGACAAAAACAAAACAGTGGGTACTCGGGGATTTTTTTGGTTTTCATCAAGGACGCCATTCCGCTTACGGTAGGCCGACAATTTTCCCAAACCATAATTCGTCGGCATAAGAGTACAGAAGATCGTCTGCATTTTAGACAGTCGACGAGGCGTTTTGCTCGCTGCAGTTTCGGTTGAGTGATCTGAAATGGGCATGCGTTTTACCAGGCTAATTGTAAGACACACATTATTAGGGGAAATCATAGGCACCAACACTGCAGGGGTGGATAGTGAAGTGGTGAACGCTTGGCAGGGAAAGGGGGGCGAAAGGGAGGTAGAGCGCAGGTGAAGAGATCAGCAGCTTTGACGCGATCGATAATTAGGAATTCGTTGTTTGGCCCTAACATATTCCTCAATTTGCATTGCGGATGCAGTGCAGAGGCTGCGCAACAACAATGCGTGCGGAGAGGACGGTATTCTCAGTGAAATCTGCAAGTCTTGTGTCGAAACTCTGGCTCCTTGGCTTCATGAGGTGATTAGAAAAGTGTGGAGAGTGTGGAGGCCGTTCCTGATGACTGGAGCTCAGGCTTCCTCGTACCTGTCTACAAGAAGGGAAATAAGACAAGATGCGAGAACTACCGCGGTATGAGTCTTATCGACGTTGCTGCGTACATCTTCGCTATTCCTCTTCTCAGACGATTCCAGTCTGTGCGTGACTCTAGGACGCGGTCCAACCAAGCTGGATTCCGCGCTGGGCGGACGAGGTATTCACACTGAGACGGATCCTTGAATTCCGCCATAGTTACCTGCAACCAACGGCTGTCTGCTTTTTTGACTTTGCTGCTGCGTTCGATTCCGTCCATCGTGAATCCCTGTGGCGGATAGTGGCATTAGATGGTGTAGCACCAAAAATAACCGCCACGATCAAGGCATACTATCGTTCCACCGCTGGGCGGGTTCTGGCTAATAAAAACCGCTCAGGATCGTTTGCGATCCAGTCTGGCGTTCGACAGGGCTGTGTCCTGTCGCCCATTCTATTCAACTAGTTTATTAACTGGATTCTTGGGAAGGCCCCACGCCAATAGGATGGTGTTCAGCTTGCACCCGTACGCCATCTAACTGATCTCGACTACGCCGCTGATATTGCTTTTATAGTTTCAACTTTTGGCCATCTACAGTAGTGTCACGGGTACATGAGATTGGTATGTTGATTGGATTGACCATAAATATGGCGAAGACTAAATTATTCTTGAGCTGCATCCCTGACCAGGGGAAAGCGCCCTGGTCATAATTATGATTCCGGTGATCGAAATGCCTTCTCTTTTTATATCTGCGAAATTGTTTGTCAATAGCAATCTAGTATCTCATCGGCAGCCTACTTTTGATTTCTTTATTTGGAAAGGGAATGTCAGTTTCTTTAAGGATTGGCGTTGTTAGGCCGAGGGCATTTTTCAAAGAAAATGGGTTCCGGCTAGCGCTTCTGAAACACAAGGGGGATAAGACTCTGGAAGGTTGGTTTTGGAAATTCATTTAAAAATTATCGCCGTAATCCTCGAACAGTCATTATTTTCACATTAAAAACGGTGACACTTTACTTTCTTCTCAACACGTATTTAATTAAATTTCGATATAACTTTACTCGGTTCCACTTGACGGACAAAAGCCGCAAGTTATCTCACGTACTTTGGCGCTGCGTGTCGTCTGTCTCGGCTAGAAGAGGCTCTCGGTTGTTATACGGCAGAGTCACTACGATCCGACCGTCGAGCCTATCGAATAATTTTCTGAGCCAGCGATACTTTCATTGCTCAAACGGTCAAACTAGGGATGCCATTGGCCAGCGTTTATTAATGGTCCAAGCGCCTAACTATCCCGGCAGTGAGTATCAATTTCCATAAGTGTGCTTACAATTAGCATCCAGATGGTGGCGTTGAGTAGTTGTCAACTGTACTTCGCGTGCCTCTAT